TTAATTAAATTATTATTTTCTAGCAATAGTCCGAGTTAATTAAATTAAGAATCCTAGTCTACTTCTATTTAGAGTTCAAGTAGCATTTATAAATCCTACTCCAAGTTTTATTTACAAATAAAGACCTATATAAAGGCTTTAGTGCTTAGGTTGTAATCACAATTTTCAGAATTAATAAAACTAAAGCTTTTACTTTGTTTAAGATAGTTGTGGCTAATTCTTTTTCAATGTTTTCAAGTTCTTCAAAATTAGGGAGTTTTCAGAAGTCTTGCAAGAGCTGAGGAGTTGGGATAGACTTATCGGGTAAGTCGTAGTGTCCTTCTTTTCTTCATTTTATTTCTTGATAATCTTGTTTTCGTATTACTTCGTAGGTGGGTGTAGAAACAAATAGGGAGGATGAGTTACATGGTTAAGCTATCTAATCATACGTGGTATGAGGTTCCGGGAGTATTACAGTGCTTCCAAGTCCCTCCCGCATTACATACCTTCAAGAAAATTTTTTTCAATTGCCCTCCACAAACCTTGTAAAACTAAGGAAAGTTTCATTATGATTTTCTACAGATTGAAACTCGTATGACCATTGAGCTTTTCTATTTCACACTTTGCGGATGTCATATCGAATCATTAGATTGTGCACAAAAAAAGAAATACTATTGTCAGAAACAAGCAACCACACATAGGAAAACATCGCTAGGCATAAAATAGAAACCATTATGTGTAACCATTGAAAAATCACACGTGTCACCACGGGCCACCATGCGTCGCCACGCACCGACACATGCACTACCGTCTGAACCACCGTGTGCCGCCACGCGCTGCCCCTGGACCACAATGAACCACCACATGCATCACCGCTGGACCACCATGAGCTGCCACATGTGTCTTGACTGGACCACTACGTGCTCTCATGATTTCACCATAAATAACTACTGAACAAGAGTGAATTCAGATCTAAAATGAATATGCACTGTTCTTTCTCTCCCTAACCAGGCTCATACTGATCTCCTATAGTTTCCTTTGAACAGGGTCGCTGCGAGCCGATTTTCTTTTTCTATGGCATGTAGAGCTGATAGTGCACTACTTTAAGGCTATGTCGCGCACTGATCTAGCCTCCTTTATTCAGATCTAGTCAAAACTAGACAGATTGTCCACCGTGCTAATCTTCTTCCCCGACTGGGTTCACTGCTTGTTCTTCTCCTTCAAGCCATTCACAGATCTGCATTTTGTTCTGGTTCCAAATGCTACTAGTTGCGCTCAGTCTTATGGCTGCTACATGACTTTCTAGTTTCATGGTCGCACGTAAATCTAGTTGTGTTCTTTGAAAGTCGACACACTGCATACTAACAGATCCAACTTCTTCTCTCATGTCGCAACTGATTTGCCTTGAACCATTGTCACCACTATCAATCTGAACTGCTTTACCAAGAACACACTATCTTCTGGTGCCGCACAGGGGACTGTTCTTCTGCTTAAATTAGGGCCAAACCAAATTTGGTTTGTGGTCATGATTCTTCTTTTTCTTCTAGCTTTCTCTCAATCCTTAGTTCTGATACTACTTGTTGAGAAAATTAATTCTTAAATCGCGTACAATTACAACAAAATAAGAAAAAAATACAAGATTTAATGGAGTTTGGCAGTGTACCTACATCCGCTAGTAAGATCGAGAAGAAATTTTTCTATTTATGGCAAGTTGAAAGGGCATCACTAGTTGATTAGTAAGCCAATATATAGAGAAAAATTGTTAAAGTTTTTCTCCTACAAAATTTTTCAAAATATACATAGAATAATTTCTAAGATAATTACAAAATATTCTCCTAAAATAAATAAAAATCTCCTAGGATAAATATGAAATATCTTCATGATTAGATTTCCCCAAAACCAAACGACATCAACAAATATGAATTAGCTATGAATTAATTCAATTACATTCTTGCTTCGTTATGTACCTCAATCACTTATGTTTTTTGTTTCTTTTTCTTTTTATGGTGGTTGATTCTAATTCTCCACCTAAAGAATTTACAACTTGATTCATTCAATTCTCATTTTGTTAATATTTGATGTTTTCACTAAATTAGAAAATTACTTTTAAAATTAAATAAAAGAATAAATGAAAATGGTCTCTATATATGTGTGTGTATTGTTGAATAACTCAATATATCAATACTAAGATTAAGATTTTGTTTAGAATAAACATAATTCTTTTGTAAAACTAATTTATAAATTCGTAAAATCACCATTAATTTAACTAAGAGACAAGAATAGAGTATTAAAAATAATAAAAATTGAGTTGATACCAATTTAAAGTAAATTTAAAATTCCAATTTCTATATGATGTTGAGGAAAATTTGAGATTTTCTGTAAATCAATTTTTGTCATTTCAGATAAATTTTTTATTATTTTCTAAATAAAGAAGATGTTAATTTTATAAGTAAATTTCATAAAAGTTTTCTTATTTCTTCCAAATGCTGCCTAAAGTGAATAAATAGAAAATAGAATATGAAAAGTAACTAAGAGAGACCCACATGCTTATGTGATGGAATCAGATCGTGGTAAAACAAGAACAGTAATAACTTTATTGTCAATTTAAGATATTATCATATTAAGTAATTTTATTGTTGGACCTACTAGGAAGAAGATAGTTTGATTCTGTGAGATCCACCACACCTTTCTTTATTCTGAATTTTTTAAAATATTTTTTTATTTTCTCTATATTTTTTTAAAAAAACAATTATATATTTTAAAAAGTATAAATGAATTGACATATTTCATAAATATAATATTTTGATTTCTATTTTTTATAAAAAATTCTAAAAAATAAGGTTTAAAAATATACAAATTATATTTACAGTCTGTCAACTCAATTTTTATTCTAAATCACTTAGTAATTTTTAAATCTTTATAAAAACAGAGCTACAAAAACCAACCTTAATCTTTTTGTCAAGAAAATCTAAATAAGGAGAGCTTCATTAAAATTCTTCTCAAGAAAATGTAAAATAGGAGAGAGTTTCTCCAATTATGAATGAAAATGAGAGAGAAGAATTATATGTTGGGTAATAGTTATCATGGAATATGCTAAAGCGGAAGAGAAGAAAAAAAAAAGTCAAGCTGAAATTTTAAAAGAGTTTTGTTCTGAAGATCCCATTAGTATTTCCTTGTGTGGCATATATATAGAGGAGGGATAAGACTGCCTTATACACATCTTATAATATAAGTTTTTGAATCTGAGTATAATGGCATCGGGTTCGAGTTGGACAACAAAGCAAGACAAGCTGTTCGAGAATGCACTGGCGATCTTCGACAAGGATACTCCTGATCGCTGGCACAATCTTGCCAGGGCTGTTGGAGGCAAAACTGTTGATGAAGTCAAGAAGCATTATGAGCTTCTTGTTGAAGATGTAAAGCAAATAGAGTCTGGTCAAGTTCCCCTCCCCAACTACAAGAAAATGGGATACTCATACATTGATGAAGAAGAAAGGTATTCCCCACATTCATATATATAAATATATATAGTTGCCATTAGTGTATATATATATACATGTATACACCAGACGCAACTCAGTCTATCTACTACTTCCTTTCTCAGTACACACTTTATTTTCAGGAATCAATTTTAATTAATAAATTCAATCTTGAATATATTATATATAATACAATAGCCCACTCATTGACACATTAAACAATTCATTTACTTCCATTCTCCAGGTTGTGTTGTGTCTATGTATGTTAGATTTTAACCTAAACTCACACAATATATAGAAGCTAGTATATATATACATGTATATTATACGTATAGTCAGTCCATGTGAGATTATACACCTCAACAATGCATACCCGAGTACACACACACAAGCATATGAGGTTTTGCTACTCCTGATATTATATATTATTAATTTTTTGTCTGCAGGCTTAGGAGTCTTAGGCTTCACTGAAGACTGAACAAGAAATAAGAAGATCAATATGTTGCAACCTATATATATATATATATATTATATATATGATGACAAATACAGTACTGATAAATTGAAAAAGAGGCAACACTGGTTACTCATCTCTCGTTTCTTTTCAGTCCTTATCAGTATGTACAATTATATATTTGGTGTATCATATATATAGTTTACTTCCTTCTAGTTCGTACAATGTAGCAAAGACTGAATGGTCATTACATATACGTGGCTCCTTCCTATTTACCTTGTATTCAGCTCCTATTTTAATGGATTGTACTTACATATATTTATTATATTATATACTTCAATTTCTTTTTGTAAATGCTTTTGGAACGGGTATGGCAGAATTATCTTATTTTCACCAGCATTAGCAAGTAAGTTTACAATTGCCAAGTTGTGAGTCGCTAATAAATACATATAAATTTATTTTGTATATGTATCTATTAAAATAATAAAAAATATCTAAATGATTTATATGATGGATGAATGAGCCCACATATATTTTCATGTATGCTTTATAGAATACAGGATATTCAATCTCAACTTTAAAACCAGTGATGCCTTAACAATTAATTTGCTTGTGAGAAAACACTACTTAATAATTTATTTGATGTAAGAAGCTTCTCATTTTTGAATTGATACCTATATGAAATTTTGACATATTTGCAGATTATTGTCGAATGGAGATGTCTCAATAAGTCCCGTCAAACTCTAAAAATATTTAAAGTAGTAAACTTTTAGTTCATTTATTATATTTATTTCAATTGCATAAATATTTGTAGATTATAAACATGAATAAAATGGTAGTAACTTCTACTATAAAGATTCAACATATTTTTCATTGTGCATCTTTATATAATTATTTATTTTGATGATTGTTTTTGAAAGTTAATAATTTTTTTTAGATTCACAAAATATGAATACATTACTTATAAACATACTTGTTCATCCAAGTAGTAGTATATTAGTTCTTCAAAAGTTATCAATAATTATCTCACCCATTATTAAATAAAATATATATGTATCTTAAGACAAATTAACAGAATAGTTTAATATATATGTAAATGTTTAATCATACTCACAAATAATTAGCTAGTTAACCTTTGACATTTCAATGTCAAAATAAGTCAGCAATTTTTTTTTAGGATTTTCAAATAAATTAGCAAACTTATGTTGTGTTATACTCATATGATCTTAGTCAAAAGCATTATTTTGATAGAGAAATTTGGCTTCTAGTATTTTTGTTTCTATTTTAATAAGGTTTGATAAATACCAAGTACATATTTGAACGTAGGACAGATACAAAGCCAATGTCATTTTATGTTACATTGTTAACATAAACTTTCTGAAATTTTGAATTGTTATCATTTCTATTTTTTCCTTTATTTTCTATGTAGTTTACCCACTTCTATAGATAAAATAGCTTTAGAAAAATTATTGTTATAGTTATCATGATAATATTTATTCAAATTTCAACAATACTCACGCCCGAAATTGTTCGGCCACAAGAAGAAATGACATTAATTTAGAATTTTTTTTAAAGTGTTTCTTTCAATCTTTCTTTGTGTATTTAAACTACGAAAAGTAAATAACATTTTTTCAGTATATCTATATGGAAATATAGAAAATAGTATGGAATTTGTACTCAATTTTTTAAAATCTTGCAATCTCAAATACATCCAATCGTAACAAGCTTTTAGAAAATTAGTACTTTTTATATTCATTATATTCTCTCAAATTTTTCCAAAGTTTAGGTAGATATCTTATTGTAAATTATTCAAAAAAATTAATTCTTAATGTAGATAATGACAAAGAAAAGTTATTATCTTAGTGCGATTTTACATTGATGCTTCAATTCTTTCTTTCGTTGTGTCTCCGAGTCACATATCATATAAATGAATTTTAGCATCAACTACCATGATAAACAATTTTTGCCCATAATTTCAAGGGTGACAAACTCTTGCTAGAAAACGATAAAATTGATCTGTATCAAATATACTAAATATATTATATAAGAACAAAAAAAATAATTGAAATAAATAAATGCATAATCTAAATAAATATAATATAAAAGCTCAATTAACAAAAAAATATGTTTATAAGTAGATATTAAAGATAGAGAGAAGGTACCTTGGGAACACATGTACAATTGTATTTTTGGATAAGCTTATGCACAAATTTTATACCAAATATAATTTTGTACTTTTACATTTTATCTGAATAAATTTTTTTGAAACTAAATTTATTCAGATAAAATGTAAATATTTGAATCTTGTTAAAATTATACATACATAGTCTATGAGATGACCAAACAAGTACTTTTTGCTAATGTATGCCCATACGGCTGTAGGTATCATACAACATTCACATGTTATATGCATTTGATTTTTAAAAATTATAAAATAAATAATAAATATTAAAAATGAAATTATAAATTATTTTTAACTCAATATAACAAAGAAAAAAGTCCCACCCAAACACTTCAAAAAATGGATTCAATGTGACTTTCCTTTCACTCCACTTTTGCCTCTTCAATAGTTCTGATAATGATGCTAGAGTCAATACTAACTAAAGTATTTACTAAGTACACAATGAAATTCTCCAATTAATCTATGTTTTTTAAAACATTTTATAACTTTTTGTGGGTAAGAATAATTTCACACTGAATCATCTAGAAACATCTAGGTGAGATTTTCCCACCCACCCACATCCAACTTGCATGGATGGAAAGATGCAAATTCACAATAAAGGAAAACCTAGAAGCTATTGATACATGAGAAAGAAATAAAAAATAAAAAGAAGAATCTTGTAGATATTATTACTTTATACTAGAAATGATAAGATGAATGATAAGGATTCCAAATAATCGGGGGCCATAGAATCATCTGCATATTCATCCAGCTATATATAGATATATATATATATATATATATACATATACATATACATACATGCATGAGCTTTGACAATTGATGAATTACAAAGGGTCATTATCATCCACTCATCACCTCATGAAATGCCAAGCACATTTTATTTTTGGAATTGTCCCCCAATTCTTCGAAGTTACTCTCACAATACTCGGACCACCATAATATTCCAAAGACATTTAAACAAACATCACCCAAAAGTTTAGTAAATTCTTCTTTTTTATCAATTTTAATTAAAAAAAAATGCTCGACTAAATTTTCTTACATGCACAATGCTATTCTTGGATACTATTGTTAGAGAAGAGATTTATTCTGCTAATTTATGAAATTTATTAATTGCATATACCCAGGTAGATTATACTTTGAGGAACGTGTTCACTTTGTTACTTTTGCTTCTCTCTCTCTCTCTCTCTCTCTCTCTCTAATATATGTATACACATATATAATGCTTGTCTTGTTCATCCATTGATATATGCTTCTTGTATATATAAGTGCGTATATATATATATAGATAATATGCAGTGAAAAATCAAGATTGTTGGGTGGTGTTCTATGTGGTGAAAAAGAGTGATAAACAGTTAGATTCAGCGTTCCCATCAAATTAAGCACATAGAATTAGAATGTTGAGCTTGTGGACTGAGTCTTCAAAAGAATCCAGACAAACGCATCTTTATAGCTGAATGTCACTCAGGGCAACTTGCAATACAGGGCCACAAGAGGAAAAGCAAAAGAGCCCTAAAGATTTGGAAATAGAAAGGAATTTGGTATCTATACAGATAAAATCCTACCATTGTAATGGACGTGGATGATAAGGATTCTGATCAATATCTCATGTAGTGGAAAAGGGATCTCTTTGTACATCTCTCTCAAAAAGTTATTTTCTTGACAGTTGAAAACAAAAGAAAGTTAATTAGTTAATTAATTTAATAGTTAATTCTGATATGAGGGTATTATTTTTCTTCTTAATTACTCTGTTAATTCTAAATCTAAGTTTTATTTTCTCTATGCAGATTCTAGGGAAGCCTATTGAGAAAGGAGGAAGAGAAGATTGAGTGCTAGAAGCTCAAAATTGACGCGAGTATTAACAAAGTTTTCTTTTATTGGTAGATAATATTTGTGATTTAGTTAGCTTTGGGTATAATTTTTCTTAATCTTATTTTAGTTTTGTTTTTCAATAATTTCATCGTTTTAAGTAGATTTAGATGACAAATCATATATCACCAGAAAGTTAAAAGTTTTCCATTTGTACTAAAATCGTGGCCAATTGAGATATGTGGTAAAAGAAAATTAGATTTGAAGTCAGCAAGCCAACAGATTTCTCGCATGATTTTTGGCTTACTTTGTAAAACCTAAAATGTGTTTCCAACCAAAATTTCAAGTAATTCTTGAACACATTCTGTTAGTTATTTGAACAAGTTCTTCCATGGTACCTATAACATTTCAATTCAAAAGTTAGGTATGTCACAATGTTGCACGTTTATGAGAAGAAAATTAAGAAAATGCACTGTAACTATGATAGATACATATCAAACACTCAATATATAATGGTAATCATTCTAGAAGTAGTTTAAAATTAAAATTAGTCTCAACATAATAAAGTTTCTTTTTTAAAAAAATTTGATGCATATCGTATTAAAATAAATTAAAAAAAAAACCTTGAAAATTTATATAAGATACATAGATTACCAGTCACAACAATAATTAGTTATTTAATATTCAGCTTTAACAATCATTCTAACATTTTGATCTTCCGTTGGGGCACAGACATCAGCGCACATAAAATTAGAACAATGTTTTCAAGAGTTTATACATGGTGCAGTAGTTAATATATTATTAATTTAAAGCATTCTAATAATTCCTTCTTATAAGATAGTTTATAGAGTAACATGAAGCACTGATCTCCCAAAGTTATTACATTACTCGGTCCACCAGACTTACATTACCCTCGAATGAATCATAAAACTCTGAAATACAAATTCTTATCCTCTTATCATATCTTTGACTAAATTTTGATATTGATCTAAAACGACAGAGTGAATTGGGATGAGTTTGACATATCAGTAAAAAAATTGTAGTAACACAACAGCAGAATAAAAACAAAATCTTCAGGATTTAAAAACTTGTGCCAATACAATACTGTCTATTAAAAATAAATAGAGTAGCTTTTAAAAACTAATGTAAAATTGAATTTACATTAACACATACACATTGCAAAATGATTTCGTTTTTTCTAAACTTATGCGTTTACAAAATCTTAGCATAAATTTATGCATTGCAAAAAAAATCTACTTTCAAATCGAATATATAGATATTTTCAAATTCATAAAAACTTCGAATCTAACTATTTGAATGTTAAACTCACTA